ACCCAAACCCAGCGCACGCGAAGTTTTACGCCTTCTCACTTTAGCTCGCTCCCAAACGGGTGTTTGGTTGCTACCCAGAGGATACGTGGATATAAATATCCGGACGTTGTGAGCTGCGATTTGAACCGTACGCACAAGAATCGCTTCTGGCCACTCCCAGGTGAATGGCAGTCAAAAGTTTTCCACTTCTGCGCACGGAACCATCCTCCAAACCCAAATTACTTACGATAAAAATGATGAAATTTCAAATATTAATATATATGCGCATTTAAAACATAGAAAACTCGAGTTAAGCAATTTTGAGGTTGTTAACAAAATAGCGTATTTAGATGAGCTACTTTTGAGGCTTCAACATCAAGCCGGAAATCATAACATTAAAGAAATTGAATGGCAAAAAAATGATTCATTCTTTGAACAATTTTCTATTACAGACTTAAAGATTAGCGGAAACAAAGTTTTAAAATCTTTACAAATTATACTACCAGACCCTGTGGAAACAATAACCGAAGACGACAAGAAACTTAAACTCATGACAATTTACCATAACGACTCGATATCAGGCGGACATTGCGGAAACAAAAAACTCTATGCAAAATTTCGTACAAAATACTATTGGAAAAATATGACACGCGATATTGCTGAATTCGTAAAAAGCTGTGAGAAATGTTTATTAAATAAAGTAACACCTAAAACTAAAGAAAATTTAGTACTAGCCCCAACGCCTTGCAAACACTTCGATGTTGTAGTTATAGACACAATAGGACCCTTGCCTGAGTCCATTAATGGTAATAGGTTCGCAGTAACCATTATATGCGACTTAAGCAAATATTTAGTAACAATAGCCACACCGGATAAAAGCGCAAAAACAATAGCCTCTGCAATTTTTGAAAGCTTTATTTTAACATACGGCATTATGAACACTATAAAATCCGATTTGGGCACTGAATTTAAAAATGAACTTTTTTCCGAATTAACCAAACTTTTAAAAATCCAGCACAATTTCTCGACAGCACATCACCATGAAACCGTTGGTACAGTTGAACGAAACCACCGTGTCTTTAATGAATATTTACGCGCGTATTTAAATGAAACTTGGTCCGATTGGGACGTTTATTTGAAATACTTCACATTTTTGCATAACGCAACAACAAGTTCTGTATTTGATAACAAACTTTCACCATTTAAATTAGTATTCGGTAGAAAAGCAATTTTACCAACCGAATTACAAAATGTAAAAATTGATCCGATATATAACATCGATCATTATTCGAAAGAAATCAAATACAGATGCAAAAATTACACGCGCTTGCAAAAGAACTCATTAACAAACACAAAATTCGAAACCAAACGGTATATNAACATAAAATTCGAAGCCAAACGGTATATAACAAGACCGCGCGTCCGTTAATAGTTAATTTAAATGATACGGTCTTAGTTCAAAAGGAACCACGCGATAAACATACAAACATATATGAAGGTCCATACGTCATAACAAATATTGACGGAGTCAACGTAACAATTTTCGACAAAATCAGAAAAAAAGAAAAAACAGTACACAAAAATAGAATCCATAAAATAAAATAAAACAAATTTTCTTATATATGTAAATACGTATGTATAATTACACAGGTCTGCAAAAAAATGGGTTCGGAATGTTCTATAAAAGTGTAGTGTCATTTCCGAAGTAATTTTTTGCGTAGAATCCGAAACCGGGGTTTAAATTGCTCTATCACGTCAGGACTTTGAGATATCCTAACCTAAAAGTGCAAAAAACGCTGTTTTTGCACTTTTTTGAGGTTATGTAGCTACGAAGAAAAATAAAGATATTTAAGCAAACTCAACGGCATTTAAAAGAGGAAGACTTATACTTTAAAATACCACGTTTACTTTTTTATGAAGAGCAAAATCTGCGTAGCTACATAACCTCAAAAATGGGCAAAAACAGCGGTTTTTGCACTTTTAGGTTAGGATATCTCAAAATTCTGACGTGATAGAGCAATTTAAACCCCGGATTCGGATTCTACGCAAAAAATTACTTCGAAAATGACCCTACACTTTCCTAGAACAAATCGTTGTTGACCTGTGTTATTTTTAATTTTTTTTTATTACAAAAAAAAATTTACAAAAAAAAATACCAAAAATCTGAAATGTACAAATTATGAAATCTAGCTCTAAAGAAAAAAAACAAACAAAACAAACTTTTATAAGTATTCATAATATATTTTTCCATAAAACTGTATATTAAGAATTTTTCACAAAAATATGAATTAGATTGTTAAACCAAAAAGCATTTTTCATGCATTGTTAAAATCAAATTTTAAAAATCTTTCAACAAATACTATGTATATATATATAGATAAAAGAAACTTGAATTTCCATTTTTTCATATCCAATTAAAAACATATTTATGTATATTAAATAAACTCATAAGTCATAGTTACTTATCAATATCATACTTATCTTTATTTTAAAATACTATACTTTGCCAATTTAACAAATATTAATAAAAATAAGTCACATTAATTAAGTAAATAAAATTGCTTTTATTTAAATATTTACAATAACTTAAATTGCTATGAACGAACAAATATAAGGGGGAGGAATATTCCTCAATCAAATCCAAGTTCGTTCCTTCAAAACAATTTAATTCTAAATATAAATTTTGGGGCAAGAAGAATATGGCAAAATTGATCACCTTGCCAAATTCTTCTTTTCCCAAGGCGGGTGATGTAATGCGATCAAGCATACATGTTGCAACCCTACAAATCACCTTATATGAATTCACCTAAGGTAATAGATTACAAATATAAATTTACGATATTGATGCAACCCTGTTGTATCGGAGAAAGCAGCTAACTTTAAGTTTTTTAGTGAAAATAAAATTTGCGGCTTTATTGCGCGTTACTTCAACGCGACTAGTTGAGTTTCATTTAAACTTATATTTTTGGGCAATTGCTGGCTACCAGCGTTGGCCGGCAACAGAGCCAGCGGAGCACCAGGGTTCCGCGTGAAGTACCAGCGCCAAAAATTGCAGCAGCACTGCCTAATACGGCAGCATCGAAGGAGCGCTAGGGCTCCCAGCAAGAGCGGGCGTTGGCCGGCAACAGAGCCGGAGGAGCAACAGGGGAACCTCGACAGATGTAAGTTAAGGCCACCCTTTTATTATCATCTACTAATGAAGCTAACTTATTGATCTTTTAACTCTCGGAAATGGATATATTGGCATATTTAGTTATCTACTCTTTATTTAAATTTGTTATTAATTTTGTTGTTATTAATTAAGTTGTTTATTAATTTTACCGCAGTTTTTACAAAATTTTCTTGCTAAAAAATCAGCTCAAGTACAAACCACACACCCGGTAGGTGCTCTACAGAAATTCGTATAGAAATATCACAAAGTTAGCAGCTGATTCATTCAAACTAATTTCCGGTATATTACCTTACCAAAGAATTTACAATAGAATCTGTCATACCAGTGCCTAAAGCTATACTACTTAGGCAAATTACGCTCTGCTATCACTAGCAGTACTGAAAACGCTGTAAAGCGGCTGTTAAGCGAAGATCACACGATTTGTACATTTTGGCAGACACAGAGTGGTGTTGTTTAGAAATTTAGGTTCAGCTCAATAAAAGAATTTCCGAACAACACCACTCTGTACCTGCCAAAATGTACAAATCGAGTGACCCCTGCTTAAGATGAAGACAAACATAGGAAACTGTGAAAACGTTTAATATAAGTGCATAGCATACATTTTGGTTTATGTTTGTTCTGTATGTGGAGATTTTTGCAAATTATTTGGAAATTTATATAAGAAAACCATACCTGTTTTCGAACGAAGTAGTATTTATATCTAGTATTGCAAGGAAATATAGCATTCTGTGGAAACATATGTATGTAAGTTAACTACATATGTAGAAATATATCGCCGATGTTTTTGCAAAACCGCCCATCGACCAGTTGCATAACTGCCTAAAAGTATGTTCACATATCAATATTATCTCAATCAAAGGTCGTTTTTTAATCACCCCGTTTACACAGGCAAATCTCAGATTATTAGCTGTCAAATTTGTTGTGCTTGTTATTCTCACATCTCAAGGAAAAGTTGTGTTTCTTTTCTGTGCCACCGTAATCACGTATCTGCTATATTAAGCAATATAAATATATTTTAACCTAACATTTTATTAAAAATACCTTTGCAAACCTCGTTCCTTGCTAGCGTCCATTTTTTTTACTTTTACATTTGGCATTTCTCCTCTTTTTCGCAAAAACAATCGATAAAACTAGGACACCGAAAATTTATCGGTGAAATCTGAGATTATTTTATAATTACAGATTAACAAGGGACGAATTTTATATGGCTAATCTCTAGTTCTAATTACAGATTAGGGTGTTAAGCTCGAAAATGAGGATAGTCTACTTATATGTGAACCTAGTGGCAAAAATTTGATTTGGTAACCTTGAACTCCAGGTAACCAGTATTTTTTCCATAAGAATCGTAAAACCGTTTTTAAAACAACAGATTTGTAAAATAATAGCTAGAGAAAATACCGCCTATCAAGGCAATGCCCTCAAAGAAAAACAGTTTTTTCGCTCTCCTGTAAAATTTTAGTGCCGTAAGATACATAGGCGGTTTTGCAATTGGGCGGTTTCGCAAAAACATCGACGATATGTATATCCGTACATATGAAAATATGTGCGCCCTTAAGATGAATGCATAGTAAATTGAAATTTTGTAACGTTGCTAGAGGACTTTTCAAATTTATGTCTTTAAAACCAAATTATTTAATTAATTTTTTTTTTTACGTCGAACGCTGAAACCGAATCGCAAACGCACTACAGAGAGTTTCACGCTGTTAAACGACAAAAATTTATTAANAAAGAAAAACAGTTTTTTCGCTCTCCTGTAAAATTTTAGTGCCGTAAGATACATAGGCGGTTTTGCAATTGGGCGGTTTCGCAAAAACATCGACGATATGTATATCCGTACATATGAAAATATGTGCGCCCTTAAGATGAATGCATAGTAAATTGAAATTTTGTAACGTTGCTAGAGGACTTTTCAAATTTATGTCTTTAAAACCAAATTATTTAATTAATTTTTTTTTTTACGTCGAACGCTGAAACCGAATCGCAAACGCACTACAGAGAGTTTCACGCTGTTAAACGACAAAAATTTATTAATTCAATATCCGGTTAACACAAACTGGTGGTAAAATGTCGATAATGACGTTTAACTGGGAGGTAGTGATAACTAGACATTGAAAATACGGCCCTACGGCTTATTTTCTCCATCTCTGGTTAACACTAACCTCCATTTAAACATCGTTATCGACGTCACCTACTTGCTGTTATATGCATAGCAGTAGCGCTCTATGAGCAAACAGCTTTTATAAAGATTTTATCTTGTTGCTTTAAATAGAAAAGTTCTTTAAATGTAAATTCTATCTTAAACTGAAGCATTTTCACCTAAGCTAATCCTTTTCACCACTTCGGTTAGGTTATTAAATAAAAACAGTATTCAGAAGAAGCACATCGTACTAACTGAAATTTTTTCGCCTGTGCCGTATGTACACTTTTTTAAATGCATGCATGTGCATTTTGCGTGCCTTTTATCGTATCTCGGTAACTAACTCTTTGTGTGAGGAAACCAAATAATGTAATTCTTAAAAATATAAATTTAAGAGTATGGCCATGCTAAACACAGCTGAAGCTAATTTCCGGTATTTCTCTTACTAGCGCCTGAAACTATACGTATTATTTAACAAATTTATAGCGTTTTGAAAATTTCAAG